CGTTATGCTTCAGAAGATTGGAGACTGTTGAGAATTAGGCTTCGAGTTGATTAATGATTGTGCATTGAGTCCCCTATACAGAATTTTATTGTTGTTAACAACCGTTTGATCAATAAATATGAGAGATGCTCTCAAAAGGAAAAAAAGGTAGTACTAAAAAAAAATAAGAATGCAGTCTTTTAAATAAGTGCCCTTATTTCAATACTGTGCAACTACGTTCAGTAACATCTTCCTCTATGTATGTGTGCATTTACTTTAAAATTTCTCAGAGTCTAGAATTATTCAAAACTAGTTTTGTTTGATGCACTTCTGCATTGCTTCTGCTTTTTATCATTTTAAACTACTCTTGTAAATGATACCCTGAAATGCCTGAGTTTTCATAAATAGTTTTTAGCAGAAATGATACTTGGACAAAGACTAAGACTCTTATGAATACTATCATGAATATCTATATATGTTGATAAACATATATATGCAAATATTACATATACAATCAATGGAGAAAAAAATCGTATCCACATATAGCTATTAGAGTTTACCCCCTCCCGGATTTTGTTACCCCTAGCTAGTTGTATAGTGTATAATGCACAATTTATTTCACAGCTTGTAGAACAACAGAATAAATATCAATTAGCATTTTAGTCTTACTTCTTCCAGGAAAAATAATATAGGCTATTTAAATTTCCTACTGGGTTTGTCTGTGTATTCTAACTAGGTCGCACAAAATATGTTGAACTGATATTAGAAAAATACACAGTATACATATAAATTAATACCCTTGAGATGAAAATAAAGATATCTTTGAATGATTAAAAAGTGTTAAATATGTCAAGAAAGGTCTACATAGTTTAATTTTAAAACTGTTATTTTTATGTTAATTTAAAAACTGATTTATATTTTCAGTGTAATATATATGAATAGATAAGACTTCATTAATAAAAACTGCTTTTTAAATTATGTACATATAGTAAAATATTATTAATCACTCACAAAATAATTGAGGAATACAAATTCCAGTGACCTGAATTGGTTGGTTTTAAGACATTTGGAAAATAATATTTACCAATTTTTATAATGAACAAGCTATTGTTGATATGTACAATTACTTGGAGGAGATACTTATTTATTTGAAGCCTGTTTTTCTCATGAACTTGGAAATAATTTAAATGCATTAAAAAATATTTCCCAATGGTGCTATGTACTAAATTAAAACTATCTTTTTCAACTGATTAAATATACTTTTGAGGTACAGAATATAGCAAATTTTTGTTATTTTAAATAATTATATGCACAGTAAAATAATATCACTTCACTTTTAAAATAAGTTTTTGTAGTCTTATTAATTTAGGTCAGTCTTGTCTCAGTAAAGTCACATTAAAGATAATTTTAATCATATGTAGAATCATGTAGCAAAAATATACACTTTGTTTTCCAGTAATAATTTCAGTATTTCAGGAAAAAAAATTCTCTTAAAGCTTACTGAAGTGTTGTTTGCCAATTTATTGATATATACTGTATTAATTGCCTTCAGAAATCATTTCTGAAAATCCCAGCTTAGTATCAGCAAGGAAATCTCAGCCGTTAATCCTGATGAGGTGTATCTCCTTGTTTAACTTCTCCTAAAATTAAGGAAACATACAGTTACCCGAAGGGGAATGACTATCCAAAGGTTAAACTTGCCAAATGACTAGATAAATCATTAATCCTCTGAATAGATGACAGGGAAGAAATTATTGGTAACTTCCTAGAATTTCTTATGAAATGTCCTCTAAGAGCCACTCTCTATACAGAACTTCCACTTCTACCTACTATCTTGATCCATGTCCATATTCTCAAATGCTTTTGCTGTAAAAACATTCTTTTAACTTTTTCTGAATGTGTACTCCCTTATTTCAATACTGTGCACATTACGTTCAGTAACATCTTCCTCTATGTATGTGTACATATACTTTAAAATTTCTCAAAGAGTCTAGAATTATTCAGAAGTATTCACCATAGTTCCTCCTTTGCAGAATGTTTTAACAGTCAGTAATCATGTGGTTACTAAACTGAAAATACTGCAAATTATTCATGATTTCTTCTCTGTCACCCTCCATCCAAATCACTGAACTCTGTGGGTTTACCTAAAACATCTGTCACCAATTATCCACTGTTTTTATATGTTGTCAGGGTTCTTGACCAGTATGTTTGAAACTTTTTCCAGGACTATAGCATTGGCCTTCAAGCTACCCTATTTCCAGTGTTTCACTCTTGGATCGATTCTTTATTCAGTATACAGTGCAAACCTTTTAGATTATAAATAAGATCATGTTACTGCCTTGCTTAATACTCTCCAATGCCTTCCTGTTGCCCTTAACGTAGGACCCCACATTTCATCATGCTGATAGCCCTGCTCAATTTCACTCTTAATTTTCTCCACAAACTTTTCTTTTGTTCCCAAGTCACCCTCCTCACCACCTGTTCTCTGTTGGGTTATTATGTTATGTCACTAAATGCTTCCAAGCTCTTTCCTTAGCAGGATATTCAAAGATCAGCTCCTTTATTCTTCAAAGAAACCCATTCAGGACTCTATGTAACTTTAAGGAGGTGATATTTTGTACACCATTAATTTAGTCAAATTCTCAAGATGAAATAAATGAACTTACTCTAAGAAAATGGTGTTGTTTGCCACCTGGTGACATATATGAAATCATTAAGGCAGCAGACCTCAGTGAGACCTGACTTCTCACATCTTCTCTATATGACATACTGATTCAGACGCCATGCTGTGTGTTCAGCAGCTGTACCCAGTCACCCCGGCATCTCATCTTTGCTTATCTAACTCTTCTTGAACCCAGTTATCTCATGTTTCTTTCTTTTAGGCTCTTCTATGTGTCATTGATCTCCATTTCTATAAACTATTTCCTCCTCTGTCAGTTCTGTACAATGTAGCATTTAAGTATTTTAAGTAAATTCATGTGTATGTTTTCTTTCTCCAGGTAAGTTGTTTGAATAATGTGATTTATTTTCATCTCTATACAATCCAAGAAACCCTAGTCATACCATTATTTGTCAAATTTAGATATTTATCATTTAACACAGACATTTTCAAGATGCTATTACAACTATGTCCTCTTGCTGGTCTTGTAATTAATATCATAGATTTTTGTAATTTCTTCAGTTATGTCTATATCCATTCTCTCATCTTTCCTCAATTTTATTTCACTACTGTAAAACTAAGGTTTTGGTCTCTTTAAATGAAGTTACTACTTTTTAATCTAGAATAGTAAACTTGATATCATATAAAATTTGAAAAGCATGTTGAACATAGGAAAAATAAGTTGAACAAAATTAACATGTGTATCTCATCATCCAGAGGAAAAATATGTAATGCAACTTTTAAGTGATTAATACCATATCTAATTGTATAAGACTCCTCAGAATAATCGTCCTTCATTACAAATCTGAAAGTGTCAGACCCAATCCTAAACCCATTAACAACCTAGATTATTTTACAAAAAAAAAAAAAAGAGGAAAGGAAGAAATTAAAGTATTTGGTCTAAAGTCAGGAAGGCTATGAATGAGTTGGCTGCAAACTATTCTCCTACTCCTGATGACCACTACATTTTTTTATGCAACCATCACAGTAGTCAAATGCTTCACAAAGCACACCCCTTAAGACATTCTATTAAAAGAAATAGTGCTGTGGTCAAATTAGTTCTTGGATATCTAAAAATGTCGTAGGCATTTTTAGAATTTAATAAAGAAGTTGTTTAATAGAGAACTTAGCATTTTCTCACGCTTATTTATTCATTTGACACTTTTTTCATGTTATATCCAAGAAGCAATTTTGAAAAACCACATACATTGCTTCTACTCTCCCATATCTGTGTTGTAAAAGTGTGAAAGAAATATCCTCTTAAAATCATGCTTAGCTAGCTCAGGCATGTCTACTTTTCTGAATTAAGGCTGGTAAGATCATGTCCAAACAGAAGCCATAGTAAAGATAAGAGGTAGGAAGGAAGTTATTATACAGTGAATCTGCTATTTTAAAGAGTTGGTCCTTAAGACATTGATCAGAAACCTGATGCTGTCTTACTGATTTATTAGGAAGGTACCTTGCAATGGTATATAATCATAAATCTTGATCATACAAGTAATTTATAAAAATAGCATTTGTTAATTGGAATTAACTTTTCATGATAGCTATCCTGTATACCAGAAAGTGTGTGTGTATGCCAGCATATCCCCTGCTTTAGATAGAACTACTCAGAAAGTCAGTACAGAAATAGAATACTAGTTTAATAATTTACAAAGACATATACAACACTGAAAATATTTGTAGAGTATAAATAATCAATCCTGACACATATCTGTCAGGAAATCCAAACCATTATCAGAAGAGGGAATGGAGGCAGAATGGTAATGTAGAAAGAATAGTAAAGAAGAAAAGATAAATAAAATTGAATATCTAATAATAATGTGTTGGTGAATTCACCCTAAAATGGAAGTGATATATTATTCAAAGGCCTGTCTGGCAATCTAACTGACATGTTTTTGTTATTGTATTTTAAGTCATTTGTTGGCTCATGGGAGCCAGACATGTGGTGGACTGGGCTAGCTTCAAGAATAGCTTGATCCAGAAATTAAGTTTTATCAAGCTGAGAGGGATCACACAACTCAATTTAACACAGGAAAAATGAGAAACACCTCCAGGTAGTTTGATTTTTTGCCTTGTCCTTTCTTTTCAATATTTCCCTCTTTTTATTTTTGAGGGACTTCACATTCACGAAAGCATATTTATATACACGATTTTATTAGGACAATATGATAGGCAGACTACTGCAATACTAACTGTAGTATATTTATAATCTTATCTGTTATTTATAGACCAGACACCAGTAAGTTAGTTTATCCATTTTCTCTGGGGCAGAAATGCCACCACATTTGTAGAGACATTATTTTAAGAGAATGAAGTTGATATTTCTGGTACCACAGAATTTTTAACTTTTGTATCTTTTAACTGTCAAAAAGCAAAAGTTGTCCCTAATCCTATATCAGGAGTCATGAATTTAACAAAGAACATAAAAAGCATTGCCCAATAAAGGGGTCTGTGGGGGGTTCAGGGAGTCTCAAAAAAATTCAAAGCCTGTTAGTATGTGCAATTATTTCTTTCTGTATTGCCCACATTAAGACACACAGAATCCAGCCTGTTCTGTTTGTATACATACAAAGTCTTTCCTAAGCACCATCTTTTCTTTCAAGGGATAAAATGCATTATGATTTGGAAAAGGAGGGGAATAGGAACATCATCTATACTCTTAAAACTCCATTGGACCTGTCAAATATACTTCAATATGCATATTTTGTGTCCAGTGGACCAAAGTATAGCAAGATAAGCATATATTAATAGATTTCTGACTTCCATACTCAAAATCCGTTTTAGAAAAAGTAATTGTTTTTTATTGTTTGTTCTATTTTTTGAGTAAATAATACATAAACTACAATTTGAGTTACAAAGAGAACAATCTCAGTGTTGATTTGAGATTCAGCAAGCACACCAGACTATGCTTTTAGGTGGCAAAAGCTCCAGGGTTCCCTGGCTTCTTTTGTGTTCCTAGGCTTGTAGAGTGCTAGGAGCTGACAGATGCTTATCAAAAATTCATGTAAACACGGCTATCAAAGCTGTGCTCTCCAGCTCTGCCTTCACTCAAGAGGGTCAGCATGGAACATCATTAATGCTGGGCCAAAGATAGAAATGTCATGCCAGGAGGTTTGTAATGCAAGGGAACACCTACACTGCTGTTCTAAGACACAGCACCCAAATTGTTAACTTTGCTGACATGAAAGATGAAAACAGGGGCAATGTTTAAAACATTGCTGTGTGTTTATTTAAGCATGAACTCTGTTAGGCATTTTCATCTTTGTTTTCTCAAGCTGAAAAAGAGTTCGGGGCTTATTCTTTTGTTTGTATCTGAGAGGCTGTGGAAATGTGGTTCAAATCTGAGTACTTTATAATATATATTACCTTCATAAACAAAAAAAATATCACATTGACTTTACTTTGGTAGCAATAATACAGGAGGCCTAAAGTTTAATTCTCTGGGTCTAGGATTACTTACCACATTTTGAAGGACTCTTTTCCTCCTTCAACTTCTTTTAGGCTTATTTTTGTGCAGGAATCACAGCACTTTTTGGGATGACTCCTAACCAAGTGATAGAAAGGTCATAAAGTCATAGTCTGGAAAGTAACCTCACTTCAAGACCTGGGAAGTGAATTTCCTCCATTTTAAATGAAGGTCTTCATTTTCACCTGAGAAAAATTGTTACTTAGCTTAATTACTTACCAGGTTCATGAACTTAACAGGTTCCCATTGGCTTAGTAATGTGAATCAGATATTCTCCTAATTGTCTATAATTGCATTAGGGTGGCTATTCCTAAAGTGTGGTCACCAGGGCAGCATCATCTGGTACTTGTTGGAAATTTAAATTTGGCAAGGCCTATCCATGATAAAAAATTAACAGATAAGTAAAAAATTATTCAGGCTGTTGTAATAGGGCAAGAACTGAAAACCAAAGATCAGAGGGTCTCAGCAGGTTGGTTTCCCTTAGACTCTTACAGTGAGAGGAAAATAAGCTGCAGAGGGACTGATCGGCATTTTTTATTGTTTTGCAATCAGGGGACACCTCTGTCAGCTGAGCAAGTTTATGCTTGTGTATGGCTAGTTCCCAAGGCAACAATATCCTAATCTTAGCTAACCTTTCACAAGACAAAGAAAAGAAAGTTGGAGGATCTGTTTTCAGCTTTGTCACAAGTAAACAAGAGTCATCTGCAAGTCTGTATGAGTCATGAGAAAGTGGACAGTGAGTCTCATCTAAGTCATGTGGAAAGGAGTGATTATTGTAAGAAGCCATTCCCCAAACAGAAAAGGGAGCTTGGAGAAAAAAAAAGTTTGCGGGCATCACTGTCTTCTGGGAGCACAGGGCTCACCAAATGCTCAATATTTTCAGAGTCCACCCCACTACTGAATCAGAAAACTCCGGGACAGTAACATAGCATCTGAGTTTAACAAGTATTCCAGGTGATTCTCATGCATGTTGAAGTTTAAGAACCACAATATTAGGCTTTGCCTCCCAAAGCAGCCTCTCTGTCTATCTAGCCTGTTTCAACACATTGCAGATGATTTTTTCTACCTGCTTCTTTACCTTCTTGCAGTCCTGCTTAATCACGTGTTGTGTGGATTCTAAGACCTCATCATAGTGGCTGGATAATCTTTTTCCTGACACTGTGTGGGGAAGCCCTGCACCCCTTCCCCCACTGTTCTATGAGGACAGCTGCCGGCTGCTTCACCCTAGATATATCTGGCTCTGAGAAACCTGTTGTATCCATGGGAAAGGAGGTAGATAAGTGCCTTGAAGGCCACACTCATGAGCATCTTAAAACACTTATGTAAACATGAATTAGCAGTATAGCAGTATAAGAAGTACAGCTGTGTGCAGAATGAAGTGGCCTGTTTGAGCACCCTCCAGGATGACTGCCACTGTCTTTACTCTTTGCATTACCCCAAAACCTCAAAGGCAACCTCCAGACCCCAACACACTGCTAAAACTTTTGTGTTGTCTTCCTTCTCAGTTACATTATCAGACAAACATTAGACAATGGTATTTTCCCACCTTTCACTATGTCCAAGTCATATTTATTTAAAAAATTATTATCCCAGCAGAGTTAGCAATTGAGATATTGCCTGTGATTTTGAATGTTGTTGCACAAAACATTTGTGACTAATGGTTCGATTGTGTTTCAAAACTGCTACACATTACCTTATAGATATTTAGCTTATTCAAAGACATGAATATATCCATACTAATATTGTGCTTCTTACACTTCAATATATATATCCTAATTAGCTTTTGTTTAAGAACATACAATGAAATAGACATCTCAGCCTTGATGCCCTGTTTCAGGTTGGTGGCTAAAATTAAGTGAAAAATATACTAAGAAGGATTATAGACCATGATTTTTTTTCCCTCTCTCTTGTTTATAATTATTTTGCAAAGGGCAGTGTGCTATTTCCAATTATGAAATAACATACTTCTATTTATTTCATTTGATTTTCTTGAAATATACTCATTGTCTCTGGGTCTCTGAGTCCATGGACAAAATATAAATTCACTTATTTTAAGCACAAAAGTCTTTTTCCTTTGCAATGGAAAAAATCAGCCTTGGACTTCCCTCTGGGGAGTGGTGCAATGAGAAGGTGGACATTTCTTAAATCTCTGTGTTGGTTTGTAATCCTATCATTTGCTGTGATTCTTAGGCTTAAATGTAGACGGTTTTGCTCAGTGGACCAAATCTTTTTCTATTACTTCCATATTATTGATATGGGAAAGCAGTATTTATTTACTTCAAACAGGAAAGCATATTTAGCAGGATTTATTTAGCTTCAAACAGGAAAGCATATTTACTTTGTTTTTAATGAGAAAATAGAAATATGAAACTGATACTATGCATACCTCCTTCAGATACTCCAATTGGAACATATATAGGCTTCTTAGATCACATTATGAGCTTACATAATGTTTTCAGTTTGGGGAAGTCCAGGCATGACTGAAGGCTATGTAACAAAAAAGGTGAAAGAAAACTATATATGAAAAGGAAACAACAAATAGAAACCAGTTATGTTTAGAAATTTTAAGTCAGAATGTTAGAAAAATACCCTAATCACTTTAAATGACTTGGCTATTGCTTCCTAGGTATGTTGCCATTTCAATGAAAGTAGAAATGTTTTATTATTCTGAGTTTGTATTCTCCACTCAAGTAGTCAAACATTTTCAATATTTTTAGTTGTTTCTTCTGATATTTGTCCCCTATTTATATATAACAGCTATAGAGTGCTATTTCTTGGTTCATCAAGTTTTTCACTGAATAACTTTTACTATGTTTGAGGTTTCTATTCTTACACCCCTATTTCCCCTCCTTCCATTTTCCTAGTATAGTTTTATCTACTGTCTATTGGTTAAGTAGTAGATATTATCTTAATCTTTGTATGTGACTATTGTTGCAACTGAATCAAGAATTATAATTAGACTTTTTTCTCATAAAAATGTTTATTGTTTCATTTCTTTTACTTCACTTTTTCTCACCTCTTCCTGTTCTTCCTGCTGTACCTGTCAAAAACTGTCAGTATAATTTCCAAATACTATATCAGATCACTACCTCAACCTCCACTTTCCCAGGAACTGCCCCCCCTACAGCTCATGGTCCTTCTCCCATCCTGACAAGTTGCTCTCTAGTTTTATTTAATAGATGTGCTTCTTGTGCTTTTCTTTGCCTCATGCTCTGTGCTTCTATCTTGGTCTTGCTCATTGTATGACACATATCTGCTACTTAGTTCCTAAGGCAGATGGCACACAAGTACAGTTTATGAGATTGCATATTGTTTCGAAATATTTAAAGATTCTTTTAATGCCAGGATAATACAACATAGTGACACTTGAATGGAGGAAGACAAACTCTTTGTTACTTATAGCTCTGAGTGAAAGCTGTTAAGCAGGGCCCCACCCAAATGGTTGAGTCTGGGAACAGGATACCATTAAGCTGAATCTGTAAGGAGGCTGTTTATGTATGGCAATCAGGGTGGGGTTAGCTAAATGTACAAGCTCCCTGTGGACTGGCTAATTTGAATAATATCTCAGTGTTTCAACTAAGAGTTTCAGCCCCAGGCAAATTCACCCTGGATTTGGTGAGATCTAATAAAAACAATGGAATTTAGGAGTAAAAGGGTTTATACAAAAATTCTCATGATGGCAGGTTGAGTGCTAGAATCACGTCTGACTCTGGCAAGTTCACAAACCATCTCCATCTCTGCCTCTGGGGAGAGCACTGGGTGGAGCTCTTTATGTTCTAACACTGACAATAATGGCTCATTGCCAATGGGCATGGAAGCATTAGCCTAGCAGTAGGACAATTACATCATCAAGTAGATTAGGGTCAGGTGAGGATCCCGGCCATAGAAACTTCCATTTTCCCTACACTCAGTCTCTGGGGAAAGGATCTGTGGCTAGTTCCCTGGGGCAATGAAGGCAGAAACACATTGTCCCATGGTGTGTAAGCTAGATAAGAGAAGTCCCTGGGGTATGGAATTAGCTGCTCAAAAAGGGGAACTGACCAGCCTCCAGCCAGAAAAACATGCATTACAAAAATATGTTAATAAATTATTATATAGTGAATACCTTTCATAAGCCTATTCTCAATTACAGCCTCTTCTCTCCAAAAGTATCCTCTCTCTTGACTATGTTAGTAATTACTCCCTTGGATTTCTTAGATTTTACTGCACAGATGTGCATTTTTTGATAATATTAGTTTAGTCTTGCCCAATCTTGAATTCGATATGTATTTCAGGTTTCTTATAATCTATAGGTTCTCTCTCCATTCCTTTTTTTTCCTAAGAATTCATGTATTGAAAATGGGGTTATTTGACCTATACTTTTCCACAGTCTGAATTTTGCTGACTTCATTCTAATGGTGCAGTTTGATATGGTCTCCTGTTCTATCACCTGCAAATAATCAGCTAGATCCAGAGCTTTGATCATACTTATGTTTAATTACTTTGGCATGATTATAGATGGTATTGTATCCTATCATCATGAGGTGTATGATGGTTAATTTTTGCTATTCTGAGTCATCCTGCTTCTTTTCTCAGATCACTTTTTCCATTCACCAGCACTTCATATCTTTTTTGTTTTTTATCTTTATTTTGATTCTGCCTAATGCTGGCCTCCTTCCTTAGTATAAGAAGACATGGGATTAATTATGAAATAGAGAATTGTTCTTCAAGTATGAGGTATTAGGGAGGACGAAATTTCCTCTACCCCTTGAGGTTCTTCTAGTTGGTCTAATAAACAAATTGACATGAAACAGATTAACAGGAGAAAAAAACAAAGCTTAATCATGTATCTATGGGGAAGCCATCAATATGGGCTCCAAAGACAGTCAGGGACAATGAGGTATGTATGTCATCCTGAACCAAGGTGAAGGTAGTAGGGGTCTGAGACTTCAAAGGAAAAGGAAAGTAATTCACAGGAATATGGAAAGAGTAAATGTTTGATAAACAAATGTTTGCTAGGACACACTGAAACAACCAGGGTGCCAATAGAGGAATTTTAACAAACTTAGCCACATCCCTCACTGTCTACCACACCTAGTTTACATTATAATATAGCTATCTTAGGTGATAGTTCTCTTCCTCAATCTAAATTCTTTTTTATGCAGTTGATGATGGGAGTGGGAAGTAAAAGTTTCGTTCTGTGTCTTTTGGGCCTTGATTGTTCTCAACTCTGAAATAATCTGCATATCACAATGGCACATCTTGGGGCAGCCTGCCCTTGGTTCCTACAGTTGGATTCATAGGAGAGGCATCATTTGAGGTGAGAGCTGGGTAATAATAAAAATTAACTAGATGG